CTTTTAAAAAAATACCCCTAAAGAACCCCCTTCTGATTCAAGACTGCTAACAACCCCTGTACGTACTGCGTCCTTCTGAGGCCTACGAGAATCCCCGTTGAGAGCGATTACCCCTTCCTGGCACACTGCGGTACCTGTCAAAACAAACCCCTTTGTGCCACGTCATCCCGAAGCCCATAAGCAACCCCTTCGAAGTGGCATTAAAGAACTTCACCGCGCAAACAGCAACCTCCCCCCCCCCCCCCCCCCCCCCCCCCCCCTCCTCTGAAACAGTTCAAAAAAGGCGGTCGCCACAAACCCCTTCTCACATCAGGCATCTTCTTCCCCCTCCCCCCGCCCAACACACACCTTAAACTACCAACCAGTCCGTCCTATTCTCCTTTTGTGATGCCCTGTGATCCCGAACCCCAACAACAAAGTGTACCGGTGCGGGCATGCAATTGCCAGGCGCTGCCACCCTTTGCCCGACTTGCGATTTTGCACAGGGTTAACCACTGCGTCGGAACATTTGTGCATTTAAAAATGATTCAAGTTCTTATATTAAATGCCACTCGGAATCCTAAGAACACCGCTAGGAAACCTACTGGTGCTATAGACTAACCCTAATGAAAACCCTAAACCCTAAACCCTAAACCCCAACGATTCGGACTCGGACGAGTTGTATTTTGCACCTTCAAGTTCTTAAATGTGACTCCTTAAAAGAATATTCACACATTGCATGATTGCACTGTCTGAATAGTTAAAAAAAAAAAAAAAAAATCTCTGAAGGCCCGGCATACAGCCAAATTCTGCCAAAATTCCTACATGAGGAGGAGGCTAAGTTAACCCCTTGCAAACCCCAACAGTTACTGAACTTACTGTACATGGAGAAGTGTGCGAGTTACAGTAAGTTCAGTAACCGTCTTTGTACTTCTGAGTGTATGCTCGCGCACTTCTCCACGTACAGTAAGTTCAGTAACTGTTGGGCGTAAGTTACTGTAACTTCAGTAACTTCAGTAACAGCAGTAAGAAGTTACAGTAACTTCAGTAACAACAGTAAGAAGTTACAGTAACTTCAGTAACAACAGTAAGAAGTTACTGTAACTTCAGTAACTTCAGTAACAACAGTAAGAAGCTACAGTAACTTCAGTAACTTCAGTAACTTCAGTAACTTCAGTAACTTCAGTAACAACAGTAAGAAGTTACAGTAACTTCAGTAACTTCAGTAACAACAGTAAGAAGTTACAGTAACTTACGCCCACTCAGTAAGAAGTACAACTTGAAAGACACATGGCATGTCAATCGGTGGGCGTAAGTTACTGTAACTTCTAGTAGGACTAGCTAAGGAAATTTATTAAAAGTAAAAGTGCACCGAGTGCAGGGCGCCAGCCTTGCTGAAAAGAAAATTTGTCGCCTAGGAAAATTTCGGAGGCCCGGCGCCACAGATAAATTGAATCAAGCGGCGGGCGGGGCGGCCTCCGAAAAGGGCCTGCGGCCAATGGCTAGATAGATGTACTGGTGGTTTAAGAACTGGGATTTAAAGAGAAAAGACTCAGTGCCTCGCCTTGTTGTTGTTGAGACTTAAAAACTTTTTAGAGATAGCTAACGTAACAATTTCCCCAAGTCATTTGAAGTTTGAATGCGTTTTGCGGTCTGTCTTGGTAAACGATGGCGCTGCCGATTAGTCCAGCTGCAGCGGCAACAAACCGCCAAGCAGCACCAGCAGCAGCAGCCTGCAGCGCTGATGGAAAAAAGAACGCCAGCCGCCAACGTGAACCGTCCATCCGATTTCGATCGGCGATCGCAACGGTTCAGGTTGGCTGCTAAAGCTCTTCTCCACTGCTGGACAAGGTTCGGAAGTGTTCCTTGGCAGGTCCACGGTCCGACCCCTGCCCTCAACAAAATGTAGGTTCCGTGCCGGGACAGCTTGAGCGGCTCAAACAAACTTCCGCTGTGCATCAGGACCTGACGTGCAAAGCAAAGGCCAACCTGGCCTGGAACTGTACCTGGTCCAATTCCTGGCCGTTTTTGAAATAAGTACACCCCAGTACTTCAAAAAAAAAAAAAAAAAAAAAAAAAAAACGCAGTCCTGGGCAGTCCCAAAAAAGAACGGAAAATCCGGGCCTACTGCAGACATTACTTTGGGATGACAGAAACGGTTACCCTCCAAACATGATGTCACTATGGTTGGGGTTATGCCTGGCCGGGGAGCCTGGCTTATCCCTGTGGGCCACGGCTATTCATGTGAGGGACGCTGAGCCCGATTCCCAGCTTGTTATGGAAGGACTCTTTTTGGTGTTAAAAAAAAAAAAAAAAAAGGAATCTAATATGATACACGAACAGCTGCCTCATACTCGTTAAAAAAAAAAAAAAAAAAGGCTGCCTAATACGGTAATACCTGTGTGACTCTGAGAGGGAACTCTGCTTTTCTGCTTGGAGTCCTGAACTCGCTACCTCTGGACATCATACTAACTGTAGACTCTGTGTAGAGTCGTTATGGATCCGGTATGCTTTATCATGGCGGCCTCAGGCCCATCTGTGCACACGCACCGACTCGAACCGGCACCCCCGGCCATACTACAAGTCATCCAAAATGATCTCAATCGGATACAGGTACCGGCCACCTAATACTTTGCAAAAAAAGAAAGAAAGAGAAAGAAAGACTCGTGGAACAAAAAGCTGCGTAATGCCAGTACTCATATAGTACTTATCCCGTGTCCTAGCTGAGTTGGTTAAGTCAACCGACTCAACCCGCCTGAGTGAATGCCCTCAAGTCAACCCACCTGAGACTGTCCCCTAAAGTCAACCCGCCTGAGTCAATCCCTAAAGTCAACCCACCTAACTCACTCCCTAAAGTCAACCATCCCGAGTCACTCCCTAAAGTCAACCCGCCTGAGTCAATCCCTAAAGTCAACCCACCTGAGTCAATCCCTAAAGTCAACCGTCCCGAGTCACTCCCTAAAGTCAACCCGCCTGAGTCAATCCCTAAAGTCAACCTGCCGAAGTCCATGGCCTAAAGTCAACACCCCAGAGTCCATGGCCTAAAGTCAACACCCCAAAGTCAATGCACTCAAGTCAACACCCCAGAGCCAATGCCCTGACATAAATCCGCAGAGCCATTGCCCTCAAGTCAACACCCCAGAGTCAATGCCCTCAAGTCAACAACCCTAAACCCTAAACCCTAAAGTAAGCACCCTAGAGTCGACACCCCAGCGTCAATGCCCTGAAGTTCGAGTCAGCACCCCTAGGGGCAGAGCCCATGCCCTGAAGCTAACACCCAAGAGTCGAAGCATGAAAGCCAGTGCTCTGACGTCAGACCGACAACTCGCAATGCCAGAGAGACGACACCCACCCCAAGAGTGAATGATTTTTAGTATAATATTTACTAAATTGTTTTGATCTAATTTGGATAATATTTACTAAATTGTTTTGATATAATTTGGATTTTTTTGGTCCTGTTTGAACACCCGAGAAAGGAATGAGGCCACCAAAACTTGGAATGGGGTTTTCGAGGTCTCTGACGCAGGGTGGGTTTTCTCTGCTTGCCGCTCGCTCCCTCCCTCCGTCCCTCCCTCCCCCATGGGGCCCAACAGCCCCCCTCCCCCAGTGAAAAAAAGAAGCAGGAGGCTATTAAAACCCACCCTGCCTCCAAAACCTGAAAACCCCATTCCAGCACCCTCCTGTTTTGGTGTGCTAACAGGAACAAAAAAATCCCTCACTGCTCTCCGAGTTCACACCCCAAACTTCCACAAAGTCAACGGACGAGTTGGGACGCGTCGGGACCCCAACGTGTTAGGGGTTCTCCGAGTCAACACCCCAAAGTGAACGGACAAGTCAACGTTGAGTTGGGACGACTCAACTGTCTCAATGCCTACGAGTCGGCCTCAGTCAAAGTCAACACAGCAGAGTCAACTGACTGACTGACTGACTGAGATCCCATCTGTATGAGAGCAGCTGTGCCACCTAAAAAAAAAGGACGACGCCGAGAATGAGGCCACTCCAAATAGTGACGGCCAGCCGCTGGATCTGATGCGCCCCTCCCCCAGGCGAAATGGGAGGGGCCTAAGTTTCTGTTATATTAAAAACGCAATTAAAAAAACGAAAAAAAGGGAACAAAAAATAGGTGATCAGCTGCTGCTTTCTCACTCCCTCCTTACCCGGCTTCTTCCCGCCTTCTTCAAAAATATTAATTAAAAAATAAAGGAAGAAAAGAGATTGCCAGCTGCTGCTGCTTGCACCCGTCCCTCCCCCTCTTTGAAGGGTTTTTTAAAAATTGAATTAAAGAATTGACCAACTCTGCTTATTCCTGTTTCGTCGGAAATTCGTCCTGCCCGCCTCCCTTTCTCACTTCCTATTATTTACAAAACAAAACAAAAAAACAAAAAAACAAATCAAGACAGGAGATGACCCGCTTGCATCTTGCTCGCTCTGCCCATTCCCTCTTCTTCTTTGCTTCAAGGGCAAGACTTGAGGAACAAAAGAAGGAAGACAAGCAACGGCCAGCTGCTGCTTGTGCGCTCCCCCTTTTCCACCACTTTAAATGTCCTTTTCTCCCTTCCACTGATTGGTCTCTGCCCGGTGCCCGCTCACCGCCCTATCTGCATGAAAAGGGGTGCCACGCCTCGCGGCCAGCAAAACCTTCTGTAGTCATAGGATCCTCTTCCTCCTCCTCCTCCTCCTTCTTGACCCCATAGCCCACCATTGGCTGTTATTCAAAATACACTACCACCTCCATAAGATCCCTTTCTTCGATCTTCCGGTCCATCATAGCGTGGGGTTCTTTAGACATCATGTTGACCGATTTAGATTGCGTTATGCAATCTGTAATCGATCTACATTTAATTTAGACATTATCACCCATCGCACTGTTATGTAAAACGGCCCGACATGGGCCTTTCTGGAAGTACTAACCTTAAGTTAAGACCCCTTCGACGTCTTCCGCTTGGAAATAACTCGTTGACTCCTTTACTTCTTCAGCTTTCACATTCTCACCCATCACACTCTTCTACATTTGTACTTCCACGTTCATAAAGCATATTACTACTTCCGCTAGTCTTCGTCTGATTTGGCCCTCCACTTTCATAAGCACACTCAATCACCCGGCGCCTCCGTTTGCTCCCGCGCTGGCTTCCTGCAAGATCATTTCCAAATCATCACACGACACACTGTGCACTTTCAGAAACGGACATCACAATGATGCCCAGAAAGCAGATAAGATTGGTCACTCACCATCAAGTCATCTATCCATGATCATGATGCAGCTTTGTTTCAACAGCTGAGGTCCCCTTCCTTCGACCCCCGTCCGGCATCCACCTCCCCTCCTTCCACCTCCGCTGCGGAGCACGTCTCCAAGGGATCTCCTTCAAGCCACTCACAAGAGTCACAACACGCCTGACGTTTGCCATACTAAAACCATAGAAAGACAACATTCAGAAGAGATTGTGGCGAGATGTGTCCAGCACGGACCGGCTGCACGGTTGTATCTAAATTGTTAGCAACAGGGCGTAATTGTAGGGGACCCATGCTTTGCCCTTGCAGGCCTTGGCCGGCCCCCGGTTCTGGGCTTCAGAGACAAAAGTGGGTGCATGGGACGTCGGACCCAGTTTCCAGCATCATTTCATTCTTGTCCATCTTACTCCATCTTATGTCCATTTCTCCTATGTATTTCCAAGGGAGCAGCACCTGCTGCGCCCGGTTCTCAGCATGTGCTGCTCCCCACGAATAGACTGGAGCCTTTTCCGGAAAAAAAAAAAAAAAAAAAAGGTGTTAGTTTCAGTAGTATACCTTTAGAAGGGGGATTTTCTGCACGTGAGGCACACAAGGATCTCACACATCAATAGACTCAGTACCTTTTGGACGACAAACAGATCCAGGCCAGTTGATAAAAGTCTCAGGGTCAATATACCCCATCACAGAACGAGAGAGAGAGAGAGAGAGAGAGAGAGAGAGAGAGAGAGAGAGAGAGAGAGAGAGAGAGAGAGAGAGAGAGAGAGAGAG